GGACGTGTCAGTGGCTGGGCTTGGGGCACTCGGCACCAACGGCGCCCTGGGGCTGGGCGGAGGAACTGGGGGCCTCAGGACATGGGTGCTGCCCACGCCTGCTGGGGCACCCCGGCCAGAAAAGGGGGCCTGCCTGGCCGCTGCTGGGGTCCTGCGGTCAGGCGTGGGGGTCGGGGCCGGGGACACTGCGCCCTGCACAGGGCTGGTGAATGATTAAATCAGGATCCGCCAGGACTCCTGACGGCAGCTTCGCTCTGTACTTTGGACGCCTCTGAAACACTGATGAGGCCCTGAGAGGCCCTGCTGTGCTGGCCGAATCTGCACCGTCTGCCGCCCTCATGCCCCTGGGGCTCCCGGTGCCCTCCCATGACCCAGGCTCCCAGGGCGGCCAGGAGGGTGGGTGTCCTGGCAGTGACCAGCCTGGCTGTGCACAGCGGCTTCTGGGCCTGGGCTCTGTGCAGGTCAGGCCCCCTGGGGTGCGACTGCCCTCTGGGTCTGGGGAATCAGCGCGCTGTGGGGACAGTGTTAGTGCAGGCCCTGGGCCTCGAGCTGTGCACAGCTGCTGGGGTGTGGGTGGGCAGTGCCGGTGCACCCACGTGCGTGTGCGCGCGCAGACATTGCATGCATGGATGCATGTGTGTGCACATTTGTGCACATGTGTATACATGCATGTCTATCCGTGTAGTGTCTGCATGTGCATTTGTACATGGGTATGTACACAAATGACTGCCTGTGCTTCTGGCTGGAGCCAGGACTGAGTCTCTGGGATGTGGGCATTGCTGGGGCAGCTGTCTCTGTCCTGGAGTCGTGCAAGAGCAGATGGTGGGGGGGGGAGGGGCGCATGTGCAGGGGGAGGGGCATGCTGAGCTCTGGGGGGAGGGGCACGTGATGCAGGGGGAGGGGCATGCTGAGCTCTAGGGGGGAGGGGCGCATGTGCAGGGGGAGGGGCATGCTGAGCTCTAGGGGGGAGGGGCGCGTGGTGCAGGGGGAGGGGCATGCTGAGCTCTAGGGGGGAGGAGCATGTGGTGCAGGAGGGAGGGAGGAGCATGTGGTGCAGGGGGGAGGGGCACACTGAGCTCTAGGGGTGGAGCCCATGGTGCAGGGGGCGGGACCCGTGGTTCAGAAGGCTGGACTCAAGATGGGGCTGCCAGTCCCAGCCTGCAGCTGGCTTCGCTCCTGCCCCCTGCTGCCCAGAGTGCTAATCCCAAGGGGAGCTCTGCCCCTAGGGCTCCTCCCACAAAGCCCTACCTCCAACCCCTGCACTTGGGTTTGGGTTTCAGCATGTGGGGGAGGGACACATCATTCCGTGCCCAGCAGGCTCTGGGGCAGCTGGGTGTCCAGGTGCCAGGCTCAGAGGTGCCCGCGGGTGTCAGGAGGTGGGCATGGGGGACACTGTGGGAGGGGAGGGGTCCTGGGCCCTGCTGCCTTCCTGAACCACTGGCAACGAGCATTTGGTGACCTTGTTCTGGTGACAGGGTGGTAGGGGTGAGAACCCTGACAGCCCCTGGGGTCAGCCCTAGGCTGGACAGCTCTGTCCAGAGCCTGCTGGACATCTGGCCTGGCAAGTCACTGAAGAAGGCCCAGGCTGGCAGCGGGCGGGCAGCCAGGGTGCTGATGCTGACGGGCCTGGCAGGGCAGGCGGCAGACGGCTCTGCCAGTTCGCACTGCCCACATCCCTCGCGTCCACCCTGGCAGGCCCAGGCCAGTCCTGGAGGGCCATCTGGCTGGAGGCTCTGAGCCACATCCAAGTGTAGGTCCAAGCGGCCCTTCAGTCACTTGGTGAGCAGGGCGGTGAGAGCGGCCCCAGTGCTCGCCGTGCAGGGACATGGAGGTGGCCAGGGTGAGGTCCGGCTGCTCCGAGAACTACTGGCAGGGCCACATCCCCGGCATGTAGGCTGAATTGAGGACAGGCTTGGCCAGGGCAGCATGGCTGGGGTAGGTCCACGGCAGGGCCTGGTCATCTAGGGCTCTTTGCTACAGAATGGGGATGACTGTCGCAGCTCCTGCCCTTGTCCAGAGGTGTCTGCAGGGGTGTGTGGGTGTCACCTGTGAAATCGTGGGCCAGGGATGCCGACACGGGGGGCCCCGCTGGCACGGCACTGGGCAGGGAGGGCGCTGGCAGCTGCTGCCCCTGAGCTTCCTGGACCTCACCAGCCCGCTGCACCCCCAGCCTGCAGCCCAGCTGCGCGGCGAGAATGCCATCCTGGCCTGCAGGGCAATTGGCTGGTTTTCCCGGGGTTGGGAAGCTTGCTGAGAGCTCTGGACCTTTTAAAAAACGACAAATTAAATTTTTATTGACTGCAGTCAACAGACTTTAGAGTAAGATGTTTAAGGAAATCAATGCTGTGTCTCTGAAGTCTCCCCCTCCCTTCCTCCGTCCCCTGGGGGCGGGGCCCTCCGTCTCCAGATGCCAGGACTGAGGCAGCGGCACTGTCGAGTGACTGGGAACCTGTCTCTTCTCATCTCCCCCAACCGAGTCTGCTCTCCTGGCTGGGCTCCGGCGGGGCCATCAGTATTCCGGAAGGTGCTCCCTGCTCCTCTGCTGGGAGGAGCCGGCCCGGTGGTCCAGGACGCGCTGCCTCCCGGTGTCCACCTGTGCCAGTGGCTGCTGCTCCTGGACACAAGTGCCGTGTGTGTGACCCGGGCACTGGCAGGGGCTCCACAAGCTGGGGTCAGGCTGCTCCCCACTGTGCCTCATCACCGCCCCCTGCCTTCCACATCTGCAGGGGGGGCCCATGGAGGCCATTGCCTTGTCCCGTCCCCTCCCACGAGCTTTGTGTCTGTGAGACCAGAGCCTGACCCAGCAGTGTGGCTGTTTCTGGGAGAGGCGGGGTGCTAAGCCCACCTCTGGACCTGCACCGTTATGGGGAGGGTCTGCCCTGTGTGGGTTCCCCACAGGCAAAAATCCAGATGTGCCTGACTTGACCCCCCACCCCCCAGCAGCCACAGCCTCCGCCGGCCAGGGGCCCCATCATTGCTGGGCTCCAGGAGCCTGGGGAAGCAGACACAGGTTCTGGGGAGCCGGGCGCAGAGCAGGTCAGCGTCCCCTGCTCAGCGCCCCCTGCGGGGGGGACGTGTGGGAACTCGGAGCCGGCCCTTGTATGGCAGCAGCCCACACGGCTTGGGGCCCGTGCCCTGGGCTGCCTACGCCAGGAGGTTCCTGCTGAGAGCCAGGGCCGGAGGTGCTGAAGGGACAGCGCCCAGCCCGGCCCTGCCGCCCGCGTCTCCCCGCTCACTCTCGCTCTGGAATCCTGTCGCCGCAGTCTTGGCAAAGATGGCTCGAGCCTGCAGTCTCTTCCCGTCTGTGTGGATGCGTGGAGTTCCTGCTGCCTGCGTGGAGCGCACCCTGACTGGTGCTTTCACGGCCGCCTTCCCCTGGGACGCAGGGCTGGGTGGGGACACGCGGTCCTGACGGCTTCACCGGTGTGTGCGACGCCAGTCTCAAACATGAATGATTAATGAGCAGCTTGCCGAAAGGACCCGGAGCAGGGGAGCAGGGGCTTTCAGAGCCGTGCAGACCCGTTTCCAGAGCCGAGGGGACACGGCTGCCGTGCCGTGCATGGAGCAAAGCCTGGCCGCATCCCAGGCTGTGCCGGCTCTGGTGCTCCTGCTGCAGCGGAGGGCTCCCAGGACCTCAGGGCTGTGTCCCCTGCTCTGGAGACAGGAAGTGAGCGGGTGTCTTCCCCCATGTACGTCCTTGAACCCTGCGTCAGCTCAGAGCTCCTGCACCTGCCCAGCTCCTCCTTCGTCCGCGAGCCGACCCCACCCTCAGCAGGGTGAAGCGGCGCAGCATTGGAGGAGGGGCTGCGTGTTGGGGTCTTCTGTGGAGCGAGCACGAGGCTGAGCGAGGGTCACCCCGGTTAGATGAACAGAGCCCGGGGCCTGGTGCAGGGGGTGAGGGCACATTGAGGTCCACCCCTCCCCTGCAATGGACTGGGTTGGCGCCTCGTCCCTTATCTGGGGCTGGCATAGGAGGCTGGGAGCCGGGCAGGCCCCTGGCGCTGGCAGAGCAGATGGGGAGGACCAGGGTGTGCCCCCGGGTGGTCCCGTGTGCCACGCGTGTGCGCATGTGAACACCGGCGTCTGGGTAGCTGACCAGCTAGCCCGGTGCCAGCATGGGCCTCCTAGCCTCTGGCTCCCAGGTCTGGCCTGGCGCCAGGGTGGATGCCGTTCACCAGCGAGTGGCCTTGCAGGGTGGGGCAGCTGTTGGACAGAGGTCTTGGTGGGGCCTGTGCTGCCGGGGAGGCTGGGAAGGGGCGGAGTGCGGGCGGCCAGGTGTGTTAGGAAGGATGGGGGGGGGAGGGCGTGCAGAGGGCAGGCACCGTGCAGGTCTGGGAGACCTGCCACAGGGCAGGGGGCCATCTCCCAGGACCCTGCCTCTGTCCACTCTCCCTCAGGACACCCGCTCCCACCTGCCGCCTCTGCCCTTAGCGGTGGCACTGCCTTCCGGACCGACTGCCCCTCCTCCTCCCCGGAAACATCCGGGGCCGGTTCTGGCCTCACCTCTGACTGCCCTCCCCCTTCCCCTGGAACCCCTTCTCCAGGTCAGGGCTCCCCTACACCACGGCGCTAAGACCCGGGCCCCCCAAACCAAGGGCATGAGGGCGCGCTCCTGAGCCTTGACGGCACTCGGCAAGGGCCTGTACCCCTCGGGCCTAGGTGGGGCACTGTCCGCGGGGAAGGACGGACAGCGATCTTGGCCGGTCCTCTCGCCCGCCCCGCCCACCTCAGAGGTGACCACGTTGGAATTCCGCGCCTGTGCATCCACTGCTTGGAGGCGCGGAGGAGCCGGTCTCAGGGCCCGGGGCCGGCCGGGCGGCCCTCCTTCCCCGGCCGCGGCGCCGCAGGGGTTAACGGGGGCGGGGCGAGACGCCGGGCGGAGCCGCGGGCCGGGCGCCGAGGCGCGCGCCGAGCGAGGTGGCCGCAGCGTCCCCGCGCGCGGCCCGGGCCGGCAGGAGCGCGGAGCCGCCGCCGCTGCCTCCGCCGCCGCCGCCGCCGCCTCGGCCATGCGGCTCCGGGGCCGGGGGCCTGGGCTGGGGCGCGCGCCGCCCCCAGCGCGCCGCCCGCGCTGACCCGCTCGCCGGGCGCCGCCGGCACCATGGTGCAAAAGTCGCGCAACGGCGGCGTCTACCCCGGCCCGGGCGGAGACAAGAAGCTCAAGGTGGGCTTCGTGGGGCTGGACCCCGGCGCGCCCGACTCCAGCCGCGACGGCGCGCTGCTCATCGCCGGCTCCGAGGCGCCCAAGCGAGGCAGCATCCTCAGCAAGCCGCGCGCGGGCGGCGCGGGCGCTGGGAAGCCCCCGAAGCGCAACGCCCTGTACCGCAAGCTGCAGAATTTCCTGTACAACGTGCTGGAGCGGCCGCGCGGCTGGGCGTTCATCTACCACGCCTACGTGTGAGTGCGGGGCCCCGGGCGGGCGGTGGCGGAGCCCGCAGCCGGCGCGGTCGGGGCGCGCGCGCCCCCGCCCCCTCCTCGCGAGACTCCCCTCCCCGCGGCCGCCGCGCCGAACAAAGGGTGGCCGGGGAGGGGGCGGGGAGGCCGGCGCGGCCGCGGCCGGGCTCTCGGGCCCCCGAGGCTGGGCCTCCCCGGCCGAGTGACCTTCCCCCGCCGTCCTCTGGGCCTCCGGCTCGGGTCTTCGCGGAGGGTAGGGGAGCAGGGGGTCCCCGGCACAACCCCGCCCCCGGCCCCGACACGGGCCCGCCCCCTGGGTGCCTGCGCCCTCCTTGTTCGCCCCCTCCGCGGCCGGACACCTCCTGGCGCAGCCCGCCCGGGACCCGCCAGGCCGCCGCAGTCCCAGGCCCGGTGCTGGGCTGCTGCCGCCTCCTGGGGTCCCCGCGCGAGCGCGAGCGCCGCCGCCTCCAAGGCCGGGGCGCCTGCTCCCCATCCCGGCTGCACGGGGACGCGGGCGCAGACCCGGCCATTTTGTGTGGCAGAGGCATTTTAGGCTGGGAGCGGGGAGCAGCGCTGGGGAAGCGGCTCGGGCGGGGGCCTGGGGGAGGGGCGAGCGCCCACGCGTGTGCCCCGGCAGTGTGACCAGGGAGGATTGGGGGTCGGGTGAAGAGCCCCAGAGGGCAGTGCCAGGCCACCTGGGGTCCCTTCCTGAGCAGCGAGGGAGGGGCTTCTCCTGAGACTCCCCCAGGCAGAGGCCCAAGGCCCCCTCCCCCAGGCAGGGTGGGAGAGCCGGGGTCCTGGGAGGGGTCTGTTGTCCCTGAGGCCATCTGTGGCCACCACCACGTCCCTGCCTGGCCCACAGGCGACCCCGATGGACCCTACTGTGGCCAGCGGCCGTGGCCTGAGGTGACTTCCGGGGTCTGAAGGGGACAGGGCCCACCCCCATGGCCTGGCTGTCCGGGGTCGTCCTGGGCCAGTGCCACCCAGGGTTTGCCTGCTCTGGGCCCAGTGTCCATGGCTGGGGGGGTTCGCCTGTTGGTCAGGAGCACTCCCTGGCCAAGCGGAGTTCCTGCCTCCTGTCCAGCGTCCCAGGCTGGGTTTCACGTCTCCAGGCTGTGGAGCAGCTCCCGCCCCTGCAGTGTGTGGGAACTGGGGGGGCGAGACCCCACTTCCCAGGAAGCCCCACCCTTTGCTGCAGGCTCCCCTGGGCTCCCAGCACCCGGCAGGTGGCTTGCACTGGGGGTGGGGTGCTCACAACGGGGTCTCTGGCTTGGACCCTGAGTCTGGGCCTGGGTCTCCCCGTCTGTGGGTGGGTACAGTCTGGTCTGGGGACCCAGGCACCTGTAGGCATTGTCATTCCTCCCCAGCTGCCCCCGGTGCCCAGTGCGAGGCTGCCCTAGGCGTCCTGGTCCGAGCTTGTGCAGCGGCTCATTAATTAAGCAAGATGGAGACCTTCCTGTGGGCCTGGGGCTGGGGGCCAGGCTCCCCGTGGAAGGGAGGCCTTGCCTTGTCCCGTCAGCCCTTTGCCACCAAAGCTTAGGTTCTGAGAAGTCCCTGGGCCAGACCGTGAGGTGTCAGCTGGGCCCACGGCTGCAGGGGCTCTGTCTGTAGGTGCCCCTCCCTGCAGGCCACAGCCTCACCCCCTCTGCCTGGGGGGCTTGGCCAGACCTGGAGTCAGAGGTAGGGGTAGGGGTAGCAGCTGCCTGGGCAGAAACTGCTTGGAGGAGCCCCTCCCAAAGAGGGCGTGCACCCCAGGGGGCCCCCAGACTGCCTGCGGCTGTGTCCTGGGGGCTCCTCCCACGAGCGCTGGGTGGGGAGGGCCTGTTAGAGTCTGAATCTGGTGCATACAACTGCGCACAGCTGGGGCCGACCGTGTACAGGACCAGAGCCGACGACCAGAGCCGGCCACGTGCCCAGGGCCACAGCCTGGCAGCTGCTCTCGCAAGACCTCTGCGTCTCAAGTCAGGGCCGAGAGGGGGCGCCACGCTGAGCACACAGCTCCTGCTGCAGCTGTAGCGCTGGCTCTACTGATGGGGATGCCGGCCGAGCAGGGCTGTCCTGTGCCTGGGGAGGAGGTAGGGGTGCAGGTCGCCTGCCTGCGCACTGTCCGGGCGTGTCCAGTGGCGGGACTGAGCCTGCGCTTGGAAGAGTCCAGGTGGAACTCTGGTGTCGGAAGGCACCAGGGCCCCTCCCTCCCCAACTGGGGCTGTGCGGCCAGGTGCCGTCCCCCTCTAGCAGCAAGGGTGGGAGTCCGGGGGCTTGTCCGTGTGGCCCTGTGCCACCCTGGGCCCCCCCACCCTCCCCTCCCCTCCCCTCCCCTCCCAGGCTGATCTGGGGCCGGGATGGCTGCCTGGGGGGGCAGGGCCTTGGCGCCTCGTGTCGGCCGCTCCCGTCCTTGGCCTGGCTGCGTCTCGAAGGACCAGCATCTGGCATTTGGACCTCGTGTCCGAGCCTTCCTTCCAGTGCTGCCCCAGTCCTCGGGGCAGGCAGTGTCCACCCAGCGAGGGCATGGGAGAGCCGTGTGGAAACTTCCCAGCAGGTGAGGGCGCCACGGAGAGAGGGCTTTCCAGGGAGACAGGGTTCTCGGGGCTGGCCGCCTCACCGTGGAGTTGTTGACAGTGACACGGTGGCTGTGGCGCTGTGTCCAGTGACACTGCAGGGTCGGCCTCCGAGCGCTCGGCGTCTGCGGGCCCCAGAGGAGGACCAGGCCGAGGGGCAGGTCATCCGCCCAGGCTGTTAGGAATCAGTACAAGTCAGACACTCAGGTCAGTGTCCCCGGGGGTCAGAGGCGCCCCACCGCAGCCGCTCTGGCCTCGAGGCCTGACGTGGACCCTGCTGGCCACAGCCGGGCCGGGTGCCAGGCTGCAGTGTGTGGTGCGGGCATCTGTGGACGGCACAGTCCCCATTTGCTCTGTTGATAAAGGGACCCCCAGACCTGACTGAGGACATGCACGCAGACCAGGGGCCACCTGCTCAGCCCGCAGGGTGCTGTGTCCAGAGCTGAGTCCAGGCCACAGGGAACTCTGGGAAACTTTATGGAAGGTGCCGCCAGCAGGGCCTGGGGAGAGGCCCTCTGAGTGTCCGCTGAGGTTGGAGCGGGCAGGGCCAGGCTGGGGCTTTGAAGGGTCCAGGGAGAGCCACGTGCTCCATTCAAGGAGGGTGGGGGCGGGCCCTATGCTGGCCACGCTGCCCCGTGAGAAGGGGATGAAGCCTGGGCCGCCCTGGCGAGGGGCTGTGGCATCAGGCCTGCTGCCGCGCACGGCGCCCACAGAACACCTTGCAGGTGACACTCTAGGCAGCTCTGTGTGTCCTCCGCTCCCCCGGCAGGTGTGTCACCTGAATTGAGGCCCCTGCTGGGGCTGGTGTCCAGGCAGTTTGGACCCCACAGCTCTGGCTGGCGTCCTCCTGCGCCCAGCAGCTCCGGGGTCCTGACCCTCTTCTGTGTCTCACCTCCTGGTCGTGGTGTCAGGTTCCTGGACTTGCTGGCCCCCGTGCGTGGTGCACACCGTGCTCCTGCGTCATGGGTGGTGTCCTGGCCGCTGTGAGGCTAGCACAGTGAGGGAGTGGGGACGGCCGCGAGCTCGGGCCGGTCCTGCCCGGGACAGTGTCCCTCAGCCCCCTGCCCCGGCCAGCCCTGTCTGTGTGAGGAGCAGCCGCGGTTCTGATGGAACAGGAAGGGCCTCTGCTGCCCTGGCCACGGCCCGGCACTGCCCCCCCGGCCAGGCAGGGCCTCTGCTGCCCCGGCCACAGCCTGGCACTGCCCCCGGCCACGGCCCGGCGCTGCCCCCCCGGCCAGGCAGGGCCTCTGCCGCCCCGGCCACGGCCCGGCGCTGCCCCCTCCGGCCAGGCAGGGCCTCTGCCGCCCTGGCGCTGCTCCTGGCTGCAGTGTGCTGACTGCTCCCAGAGCGTCCTCCTTGTGGCTGTGCTGCAGGCCGTGCCCAGGAGGGGCGCCGTCCGGGACGAGACCAGGGGCCCTGTCCAGCCTGCCCCCAAAGGCCAGCACTGCTTGGTGGGCTCTGAGGTGGAAAGAAGAGGCACGTGCAGACCTGCGATGGGCCCAGAGACTGTTCTAGAAGACTCACCTTTGCCCCACTCCCGGCACACCCTCAGTGCCAGGCCCTTCCCCCTCTCTGTGCAGGTGCCCAGGGGCTCCAGCCTGTGCCCTCCTGGTGTCCACCGCTGGCCCAGGCTGTGCTTTGTGTGGGGCCATGAACACTGGGGGGTGCTGGCCTCGGAAAGGGGTCCCCGTGGGAAGGGGTGAGGCGACCCCTGCTGTGGGCCTTGGGGAAGTGACCGGTCCTCACAGGTGTCAGTGCTTTTGTTGTTCAGTGTCCAGACCCCAAGCGAGGGGAGGGGCTGAGGAGTGCGGCCCGGGTCTGCGGCCCGGGTCTGCGCCCCAGGCTGCGGGGACTCCGGCGGCCGGCCCTCCTGGCCGCCTCCCCAGCGGGGCCTGGGTTGGCCATGGGGGTGGACGCTGGAGGGCAGAGCCAGGACTGCCCCAGCAGCATCTGGCAGAGAAGGTGGGGGGAGGGCGGGCCCACTGCAGAGGCGCCCAGCGCTGGCCCTCGCAGCCTCTGCTGGGTGCTGGCAGGAGCACAATTAGGTCTGCATTTATTTATTCTGTTTGGATCCCTGGGAACAATTTTGCAAATCACGGAAGAGCGGTTGTCAGTTTCGCCCAGTGTCCCTCCACCTCTGGCCCTGCCCAGGGAGTGTCCCCTCTCGTCGCCTCCTGGTCTGCGGGCGGGGCGCACCGGCCTCGGTCCCATCTTGCTCTGCCCGCTCCACAGCTCTTAGCCTGGGGGTCAGCAGCCGGTGGCCGGGGTCTGCTCCTCTGCAGGCGCCGGAGCAGCTCTTCAAGCCCCAGTGGGCGAAGGCCAGGGTGCAGAGGGCTAGGGCTGCACGTTTCCACCTGAGAGTGGGTGCAGAGGGCCGGTGCAGGGGCTCAGGGGGCACAGAGGCTGAACCCCGGGGAGGGCCAGCGCAGTGGCGTGGGGACAGGC